ATTTCCTTAACTTTAGGTTAGTTTTTGAGGTAAAGGACAGTCAAATTTGTTTTCACTGTCTGACAAAATTTGCAATAAAATTGGATATAATTTACGGTTTTTAATATTATCAAATATTTAATTTAAAAAGTGTAAAATCAATTAAAAAAATCTGGTTCGGTACTGTCTGGATATTGTAACACATTAGTATTGAGGATTCTGAGAGCACAAAGTGCTTGCATTCCAGAAATACCTTCACTAATAGTACTTAATTCGTTTGCCTTAATATCTCCGCCATTTATCGAATGTAACACGTTACAATGTGATTTTATGTATTGCACTGTGATTGATTCTTTCATCATTTTGATGAGTTTTAATTTTCAAATATAGTTTTTCGATGGCATGCCGTCAATCTCAATGCGATAATTACAGAGCGGAGCGGTGAATTGAACACGCGTCGTATTTAGATATTGATTTTTATTTGTGTTACAAGGAATGATGTGTCTGTTTTCGATGCCTCGGCGTTTTACATACACATCCCGCAGAAAAGGTATATACTTCTTTTTCACCAACTCGCGTACTGAATGGAAAACTGAACGTTACAATTCAATTCTCTCTGAGGAAAGATTTATAATGCTAGATTGAAATATGATTTGAATTAATACTGTGAAAAAATATGCATGAAATATGATGGAAGAATAAAAATTGTTGCGGAGTACAATTAACACTTGCGATTAATTCGAAGTTATATAGGGAGGAAAAAATGTGCAAAATTGCAACAATAGTGAGGGAGATGAAGGAGACAGAGAAAGAGAAAAAGATGCAATTATTTCACTACAAGTTTCACTTCGAGCCGTGGAGAGTTGTACATATTGTATATATTAAATGTAATTAGTTTAATTGGGTATTTTGTACAAATGGTTTCTTATGTTGCTTTCTTAGTTCGCACCTCGATATATTTTCGAGATGTGATATGTATTTGCCCTCCGGGAACTCATCTTTGCATTGACATTTATACGAATTGCATTTAATATTGGTAGAATTCAACGTGAAACTCCGTCGATATCATGAGTGTTGTACACCTTTCTGTATGTGTTTGTGGCTCTTTCCATTTTTCTGAAGAAGTATCATAAATTTTCTGACGATGATTTTCCTAGCTCCAACCATGAATGCCTTGGTATCGAAAATCTCAATCTTTCACCTCCCAATGTACACAAAGTGCTCCACGATGTGAAGAGAAGCTTCTTGCGTCTTTTAACTCTACTTCAGCATCTCATAGGGTTAAGATATGGGTTGAAAAAGAGACGCGGCGGCTCCCAATGTTTCATGTCTTGCTGAGCACATTTCTCCACCTCGCGCAAAGGTGAGAGAAGAGTGAAGACCACAACATATTTCTGCTACTTTGACTTCTTCCGTTTTGCATTGCGCGCTTCTGCATTGATCAGGTATAATCGCAAAAAGGAGTTTCCTCTCAAATAGATCGCGCTATGGTGGCTTTAAAATCTATTGCGCCCAATAAGACTTTTCAATTGATCTCTGGGTTTGCATTCTACTCGTGAGACATCAGTGATTTATTGATGGGTTTGCACATAGAAATTTACTTGTATCTCCACCCTTTCCCATGGAATTTATATGCCACTTTTGGCTATATACCAGGAATATTTTACTGTACAATTCCCAATACTGCGCACTCCGCATGTAATTGAAGGTGGAAATATTTTCTGCCTTTCTATCTCAAGTGGCGTTGCAAAATAATACGGGAACACAAGGGACAGAAATCCATGTCAAGAAGTAATTATAAATGAACAAACGATTCTCTTGGCCGTAAATCAGGGAATAATTCTCAAAAGGGGGTGTGGTATGCGTATACAGCAGAACCTTACTCACTCGATATGAGAAGTAACAAAAGATATTGAGACACAAGATTCTTGTAAATTTGCTTCAACACCGCACGAGAGATGAAAAAATGCACATAAGCATTAAATATTTTCTGTTTACTGATGATTGTATACTTCCTAAAAATTCATAATGGAATTTCCTGCAAGATTTCTTTCTTTTGCTTTCACTATATCAGTTTTTAGTAGCTTTTTGGTTATTTGTAGACATAATGCACGGCTTAGAGTCTCACAAACATATAGAGAGATTATATTTTTTTCCTCATTCCCTATTTAATTATTCAAAATGCTGATAATTTTCTAATGATTCTCCTCTGTAATTTCTCATTATACAAACTCTACAATTTATTATCATTCATGCAAAAATACTGGTTGCAATTATTATACTGTGCAGTTAACATAGCCACAGATACATTATTTGAATTCTGAAAAATAATAACTAAAAATGGTCTAAGATTTGGCATGTTTGTGGAAAGAATATTAAAGAATGTGAAAAAATGCCCCGAGTGCGATAAGGAATGAGTGATGAAGAGTGCTGTCGATTTCTTCATAAGAGTCTTGGTATAAATGCTCACCTTCTATCATATGACCGCATACATTTATTAAACATTGGATTCGTGTGCGCCGATGATGATGGGTGCTGCACTTCTGCAATGCAATTTAATGCCAGTGTTTTATAAAACTCGAAATTGTTAAAAGGCAACATGCATACACGCATTGCTGCTATACAGAGAACATTTATATATCTATGTGTACACATATGTCAAGACAAAAAAGGCAAGAAGTGGGAGGGGGTTTTAATTAAAATTCTACATGCACACAAATCGATTTTTATTGTATACGAAATATTTTTGCACTTTATACATTTACCTATTTAATGTGAATGATTTTTACCTATAAATAGGTGTGTATATGTGTGTTTTCTGGTTTTTACCTGAGAAAATAGTATTTTTTTCATTATCAGGAGTACATCAGTAGTGGAATAGATTATGTAAAAAGATGTTTTTTGTTGAAAAAAAAACTGGTTCATATTGAGATTTGATATCAGAACAAAAAGACAAAATTAATAATCTCGATTACCTTTCCGATTAGCGGAAGAGTTTTGTTGCATACATACAATGATAATATGTATTAGTATATTCATCATGGATTTAAAAAGTTTTTGAACCTCTAGAGATATTGAAAAAATACAAATGCCAACTAATCACCCTACTTCGCATCATCTCCTAAATTGCGTGAATACCAGAGTCAATAACCAAGTTTTTCTTTCGTCTTAGTGTATGGTAAATTTTTCTTATACTCCACAACATATGCTTGTAGGTTATCGGCATTGCAACGTCTCACACTCCTCTTTGCAATCTTGTCAGATATTCATATACAGAAAGTTAATTTATTGGATATGGAAAGAACATTTGCACTTTTGATGAGAGCTTCTCGAATTGTTTGAGCGTGCAATATTGTGCGCGTATTACAAACTTTGTTGTATGCATTTCCATTTCCGATTTATGTCAAATCATGCACAAGTCTTGAGGGGGGAAGGTTTGAATGCACAATCGGAAATGCATATTTTCTCTACTGCAAATCACGTTGTTTATAGTTAGGGGGAGGTGCGATGAAAAAAGGGTGCAGCGCAAAGTTGCTTTACCTTCAAATATCGTCATGATGGTGACAGTTTATTATTTCTTTGGTGTAGGTATACATTACAAAAGGAGGATTGTTGGGCAAAAATAAGCTTGATAAGAGAGCAAATAGACCAAAAAAAATATCTCCGTCGCAATAAGCTTATCTGTGGGAAGTTCAAGGAGGGAATTAATTTGGGAAAAGGTGAAACAAATGACTTTGTGAAGAGAGAAGAAGGAATATAATAATCAATGTCGATGTTTCGGGGAAATCTCTTATTGTAATTTAAGATGTTGAGAAGAGAAAGAAAGATATTTTAATCGATTGTTACCGCTCCGTTCGATACAGTAATTAGTTTGAATTTGTTTTTATCATACGTATTCCTTTGGCTATAAGTTACGGATGGAATACTCAAGAAAATCATTATATATCTCTTTTTTTCTACTTTGTCTTAATAATTCTGAATTTTTTACCTCCTCAACCTCTTTGCCAGTTCTCACATTTACTATTTCATCTTTTCATCTTAGTGAAGTGATGTTAGTATGTATGTTACTCGAAGAGGCATACAATAAATGTGGCTCATTAATTTTACATTTGTTTCTCCCATTTATTTGTACAATTCGAATTGGTAAAAGGCCATAAATGATTAATGAGTCGATTTAAATTTGTTACAATAGTGCACTTTATTTATAAACAAATTAGTCAAGAAAGCGATTTGTATTTCCAAGTCTGTGTGTCTTGTATTACAATTCGTCATGCTCATTTGCCATCAAATGATGAGATCTAATGAATCTCCTCTTTGGGCATCTCATTCCACACTTGTTGCGGGATTCCAGCATGGGCATTGGCAATTGGAAAAGATTTCAATTTGATTCTTCAATGCTCACCTCATCAGTCTTGATTTCTTTTCCCATAAAAATTGTTGTCTGTTAATGTGAATTCTCCTTCTTTTCACTTGATTCGGGTTGCGAGGCTGCATTGGAATTGATTATTATGTAACACATGCTGGATCTTCAGGCTGATTTCCTCTTGGGCCAACATTGTTTCTTAACGACTTCCCTAAATGACTTCTCAATGCGTAACAGAACAATTCGTCAAACATTGTCATTATTTCACGTTCGAAAAACCAATCAATCAGTTAATACTCAACTCAACCACTGAAATTTCGTGAAAAAGACTTGATAATATGCACAACAGAATCGCCTTAAGATTATAATTGTGGTTAGGCGGAACAAAGGATATGTTTTACAATATATATTTCTTTAATGATATTTCTGTGTGTCGATGTTGTGAATGTGTAAATGTTACTGTTTTTTTATATTTCTGTTGTTCACAATTTGTTGGCAAAAAAGAATTGATTCTTTTCCTCTTTGAGGTATAAAGAGAAAAAGACAAGAATATTGTTGAAAAAAGAATTGTTTATACTTATGTTTTCCTTTTCCTTTTTATTTAAAACCCCCAATAATTCATTCAACGAATGGTGGATCTTTTTTCTTTTTATTTCAGATGCTTGTCGGTCAAACCGCCAGAGAGGTAAACTGTCAATATGAAATCGAATTGAACACTGAAAAAAGCTTTGAATACAAAACTATATACTTATCGTACTTTTCTAAGAAAAAAAAAACACATTGCAACCACTTTAGTGGGCGTCAAGCTGAAGAAAAGAAAAAAGAAAGAGGGTTCCACCACCCTCAAGATCCATATTCCTCAAAAATGCCACCAGAAAAAGAGTTGAGAAGAAAGCTAGAGAAGTCAAAGAAAGTCTCTCTCTTCCTCTCTCTGTGGAGCCCAGAGAGGCCATGCAGAAGATCAAAGAGAATTAAGAGGTAAAACCTCGGGCGGTCCATCGGCTCAGCAAGGAAGGTGAAAGGAGTCCAACACCCGGGGTGTAGTCGGCGAGGACATCTCCAATTAATTGACTACACACGTTTCGGAGCACCGTGACCTCTGCCACCGCTGGTATTTGATGGTAAAATGCTGGAAAAAGAGCCAAATTTAAAAGCAAGCAAGCGAATGTGATCTGGATTTGTCACTGTTGATCGTAAGATGAGCAATTAATTTCGAGAAGGGTTCCTTGTGGGCTACACCCCCGTGTCGACCCTTCCACTGGACAGACTGATGGAATTTTCACACGAAATGCTAAGTTTACCTTTTATTTTACTGTTTTCATTTCATTCAGTACTCGTTACATCTGTTAATTTAATTATCTCATCTCTTTGATACATTTTTTTGTGTTGAGTTCTCAATCTCTGTTACTTTCGGTACATCAATGTCTGATATACTCCCGATGATTGACATTGGTGGGAATATATTAATTTCTTCAATATTTTTTTATCTCCTATTTTAAAGTTTTTACATGTATGTATAGTAGTCAGGCCATTATAGAAAGTACTTCAGTATGACGGCAACTTTATAGAGTGTCCGTGGATATAAAATTTACCACATAATGACACCTACATTTTCCACAAATCTTTCATCACTTTTTGTTTTCTTTTCTAGTTCTAATAGTTGTTTAGCAAGAACTCTGAAAATTCAGTGAATGAGAAATGGTAGAAAGGAAGAATTATCTTGAAAGGAACTAAATCAATCAGAACAAAAAGTTGCTAATTTGTTTTTTGACTTGTAGTCGCAGCAGGAAGGATCTTGCAGTCATAAGTAAGATCATTCTTATTTTTGAATAGAATGGTGCAATAGTTTTATGATCAGGTTAAAAAGGAAATATTGCACACTTATACATTTAGTTCATTGTTCTTAACATAAAAAGAATTTCATTATTTTTACATCTCACTGATCTCACTTTCCTACAAAAGTAGTCACACCCCACAAAATGTATCCCTCAAATTTCATTCTGACTTTTCCCAAATGCCAACACAAATCCACAACAGCCGTATAGCTTCAATTATTATGTGTTTTGATTAATGTAGAGAAAAGTGGGTTTTCAGCCTCATCACAATGTTTTATAGAAAATGTATTATAATTGTATGTTTGTGTGTGTGTGTGTGCTACTGAATTTATATTTTAATCGTGAATAGCGTGATTGTAATTGAAAAGCGTACTTTTGAGAGCGCATTTATTCAAATATTGACACAAACAATAATTACATTCGCGCAAATTGGGCATAATTTGAAAGCCATCTAGAACCGTCATTTTGTGGGGGGTTGTGAAATGCTCGAAGGTGGGTTTTGGATTTTATTACAATTTCTCATTTCGCCTTTGGGGGATGAAAGTTTATTTAATTCATATCAAAATTTCAATGTGACATTTTGGGATTGTGGCCAGAGACCTTGTTCATTATAGGATTCGTGGTCACTTGGGCAGTTAATTAATGGGTTAACCGCAATTTCTGCAGGGTATTTCGTATGTCCACACTATGGATACTTGATGCACTTGCTGAAGGTGCGTAGATCTGTGATACGTGTAATTTTTTATCACCGATGACCACCCCTTTTCTCGGGAACCTGAAACTCTCAACCGAAGTGCCGCCACTTAAACTGCCACTTGTTGAGCTGTGTATTTTCCATTCACGAAACTCCCTTTTTCGGTTGTGGGGGCGAGAACGTGAGGGTTGCCGGCGATATCTCTGTGATTGTGACGGATTCCCTATGTGAGACGCGCATCCCCCGAGAAAAAGCGAGGGGACATGCACAGAGAGACCGTAACACCCGGGATTTAATGGTGTATCTACATTTCCGCTCGCATGGGGCCTCTTTTCTCTGGGTGATTCATCCCCCAATTGTTGGATATTTGTCACATATTTAAATGCTCTTGGTGGACAGTAAATCTGTGGGTGAAATAAATCACTCTGGGTTTCCTTTTTGTCGGAGGAGGACTAAAAAATCAGGGGACTTAAACGTGAATTAATTCAACTAATACCCTGTGTGTGGTTTAATTCGTATGCTATAAATAAAATATGTGTATTTATGCTCTGGGCGGAGAGGTGTTGATGCATAATCGGGCGCGAAAAGGTTTCATTTCACACGTCGCTAGAGTCACATAATGATGGAAGAGAGTGAGCCAGAGTCTCTCTATAAATAATGTCTTTTATTGAACGATGACGAGGTGATGTGAAATCCTTTTGTGTTGTAGATTTATTTAATATAACATTAAATTCCTCTTCATATATTGTCTCTCTATACCCATAATTTCACCCCCATATCTCGTAGTTCACTGATTTTCACTGGGAGAAAATCTCATATGATGTGTATTTTAAGTATTAATGTGCGCCGAGGGGAGACACTCTGCGTGTACTTCTTGACCAGCCACTGTCTCGCTTCCAATTTACCAAACCACTGACTAATTACAGATAAAAGGAAATAAAATGTGCTTCAATTGAACCCATTTACGCATTGTTAATTTTATTTGCCATTTAGGCACAGTCACTCTTGTCTTTCCACCTCCTCAACTCATGAACACATTCCACTCTCTCTCTGTGTCAACTTCAAATGAGTTTCGTATGCGTTGTCTTGTGGAGGGTGAAAAGTACACCCACACACGGGATTGTTTAGTGTGTCTCGTCGTGTTTTTCCTTTGATCGATCTCAAGCGATGTGGGCATTTTTGGCTATGTGGAGGAGAGCCTTTTTCGCACACGGTTTTTGGGGTTGGTAATTTGATGCCGAGACGAGGTCAAATCCTCAACATTTTCCACTTTGCCACTTCCGAGGGTGTCCTTAAAACTCCCCGTGAAAGAGATCGTCGCCGAGGAAATGCAGAAGACGAAATGATACTCTTGATGGGATGAACAATCGTTGCATTATATTTTTGGCATTAGTTGAAACGCCTCCTAAATCTCTTCGTGATCTCGCCAGGGACACAATAAGAGTTAGAGTGCGTTCGGGAGTGTTGAGATTTCAAAGCAAAGCGCCAAAGATTATCCCTTTTGTGTGTCATATGCGTGTGAGAATTCTCATCTCCACCCAATTCGCCCTCGAGGCCGAAAACCCGGAATTATTAGCTATTTGTGCTGCGTACAAATGCAATACTGCAACAAAAGTACGTCTCCTGGTGTGCCATCATCAATGGGACTCTTTTTGGCCATAAATGGAAGATTTAACGCTCGGATTAATTTTTGGGTGCCTGATTTTTATACCAACTCCTGAGTCTATACTCTTGAACAGGATCAGAATAGCACATTTATATGTATGCATATTATGGGCAAAAAAAAGTCTCACAGTAAAAACGAAAGAAGACTTATTCAGTTGGTAATGAATTTCTACAAGATGTAATTTGTTGAGACTCCTCATTTGTGGTCTTGTTATTAATGTTTTGTTTTGCGTCCCATTAAAAACTACAATTGTACGTAGGTAGAGAAAAGAGTGTATGCAAAAAGGTAAAATAATATAATTACACACTTCCCGAGTACCTACAGAGTGCGGCAGTAAAAGTGCAAAACTTGCTACAATGTATTGACTGAAGCAAACTTCACGTCTACAATGCTGTGTTGGAATATTTCAACTTGATTCAATATATTTACAGTTTAATCGCCTCACACTGTTTCATTAATGAGGTGGGAGATCAAAATAATATTTCCACGACATGTTTTCTCACTTGTAGTGAAATTTTGGCAAAAATTCACACAAATACCTCCAACAAGATTGAAATCATTCATGGGAGTGTGTGTTCAATTTAGTGGAAGAGTTAATTGTGTATTGCGTCATTGGGAAAAATGTCATAAAAATTGAATGCGCTCCCATTAGCAAAAAGCATGTTGCAAACGACATTCAACTGGTCAACAAGTAAACAGTTCAAGTGTGATGTTGAATAGAATTTCAACCCATTTTGGCAGTTTTCAATTTGGCGCTTAAAAGTGGGTGAAATAGGGAGTGGAAAAATTGTAAAATCAACCTGGTGGGTGGCATAAAAGGGGGCGTCGTTTGCGAATGTGTAAACATGATGAAGTGGGGGTAGCAAAAGGGGCGCCTCAATATTTGATGTTTTCGCTCCAAACATTCACTGTGTATGAGTGCTGAAAACAATCAGAGAGCCGTAAAATTGAAACGCCAAATGCTACAATTTAGTATTTAATTGAAAATGTATGTGGAGAAGTGGCGATGACTTCATAGAAAGTTACCAGTTACTTTGTAAAATCGTGAATATAAAATCTCAGGCACTCCATCGAGCTTTTTTTACCGCCATTTCACAAGCAATTTAATGTGTGATCTCTGTGAGCGATAAGAGCATTAATTACCCACTATTATTGGTTAATTATACATTTCTATGATTAAAATATCGGGAAATCATGCAGTCAAAGTAGCAAATTGGAGGATATGCGTAATAGAAGATGAAATGACCCAAAACTCGCCTACTTCCAGACCATCCACAGACATAAGATAATATGAGAAATAGCCAATATTGAGAAAAATGATATTACACTCTCCCTTCTTCCACCACCCTTGTGGCGACTTTGCAGGGGTGCGGATATAAAAGCCGAGAAACGGGAAAAGAAATAAGTCGATCGTGTAATATGAATATAAAATAGTCCCATTTGTATGTAAACAGAAAATTGGGGGATGCGCTCTTTTTTTGCGGGTGGGT